GCCAACCGCCGGACCCGCCAGGGCCGCCCGGCCGCCGGTCTTCCAGGCCGCCCGGCCGCCGATCCTCCAGGCCGCCCAGCCGCCAATCCTCCAGGGCCGCCCGGCTGCCGGTCTTCCAGGCCTCCAGGCCGCCCGATCTTCCAGGCTTCCAGGCCGCCCGGCCGCCGATCTTCTACTGGTCGCCGATCTTCCGCCCGGCCAGTCCCTCGAACTGGATCCTCCGCCGGCCCGCCAGGCCGCCAGGCCGTATCCGGGCAGCTGGGCCGCATCCTCCACCCGATCTTCCTCCGCCCGGCTGCCAACGAGCTCAGCACCCTCAGCACCAGCCACCAGCATTCACCGGCTGCCAACAGGCTCAGCACCCCTCAGCACCCCAAACCAGGGTCGTCGACCCTCAAGAGACCCCCCATTTCTGCTGCGGGTTCCGCGTCTTCATGGAACTAACCCTGGTAGGTCCGCCATGATTGCAGCCGGAAGTCTTTATGATGGTTTCAGTGTTCTGGGGTCATGTGATCACCTTTTGTAACCTTCTGACAAAGTCAAACAGGAAGCTATATTCATTTAACAACCATGTTACTAACTTAACACCCGCAGTGATTCGCTTAACAACTGTAGCAAGAAAGGTTGTAAAATGGGGCAAAACTCACTTAACTTATTTAGCAATGGAAATTTTGGACTCAATTGTAGTTGTGAGTCAAGGATTACCTGTAATTTATTTAGAGATATTAAAAGAGTTATTAAACAGAATAGATAAAATAAGATATACCTCCAGTTTTATTCCTAAGTAGATATTTAAAAATAATTGTTATAATGAAACACATGTATGTTATAAATCTAGTACTGCAATAAGATTATTTATTAATTTAATAGCATTTTAGAAGAAATGATGAGAAATAGTTCAGAATTTCAAGCACTTACAAAATATAAAAGTAAATGGAATTCACATTTTAATTTTAAAATTGCTATTGTTTCCATTAACTCCTCTTTCCATACTCTTATGCAATAGATAGATTAGAATTTCAATAATAGCTTCACTTTTGAAAATGTCTAGTTAGGATTTATAATTGTTTCCTTTTTTCCCAATGAAAACAATAATTCTTTCCTTAGATCTGTTACCGAAATCTTGCCACTGTATTTTTGACCCTGCCCAATAATGAAGTTATAAGCTCATTCTTGCAAAGCTAAGGTAATATAAAAATGCATTTAAAGAATCTCTAATTAAATTTGTCTTGCTGATGAGCCTCCGATATTAAATTAATAACCTCCAAGGAACATTTTGCTTTGGTACTGTCACAATTTCCCAGCTGAGAATGATGGAGCACAAAGTTTCATATTTGTTGCTTAGGATCTCTTGTATTCTATTCAGATGTATTATGGTGTTAGTGTTAATGCTGCTTTTTAATTTAAAAGATTTATAAGGCTACCCAACTCAAATAGTGTGACTTTGGGTGGCATATAATAAACCATAAAAGAA